TTCATTTACTGTAAATGTAAACGTTAGAAGCTGATGGTCGGAATAATAACCAACAATCCGCCAAATAACTACATGGTCGATTTTTGAAGGAGAATTTGTAGTAAATAAGATCATGAAAGTGGTGAACATAATCCTGGCTCAAACGTTTCAAATGAGTTTCATTTAACCTTTTACAATTTATTTGTTTCTTTTTAGTCTGCAGCATTTGCATTTCGAGAATGTTTCATTTTTAAATTCAAACTCTTCTAAATTGTGAAACGTAATATTTTGACTCTAAAAAAAAATATTTTCCCTGTGACGGAGCTCATTAATATTACAAAAGTGCCCAAAATAAAAGTGTTTATAACACTGTGTGAAGCAAATAAATATCTGCCACTTTGTTTTTAAAAATATATGTTGTTTATTGTGTGGGTGTAAATGTGCTTTGGTCAATTTCCATTATTATGTAAATGATATGCAAATGATATGCAAATTAGGCCGCCACAGTGGTTTAAATTCCTGGGAAGAACACTGCTTTAATATGCAAGTTAATTGGCAAACAAAGCAAACTGAATGAGAACAGAACTTTCTCCTGATGGGAGAATACAAAGTACATTTAAAGAGAAATGTTTATAATACACTACTATAAAGGATCTAAAAATACATTGTATGAAGCCTAAAAAAAAATGTTAGCATAGAAGGAGTGGGTGGGGAAACAATGCTATGTTCAGGCTGCAAATGAGTCTACTGATGAGAGATAGCTTCTGTACTCTGCTCAAAAACCGACATGGTATATAAACTTGCGCGGGCGGAGTTTATTATTCGCCCTCACCCACAGCCACAATGATGACTAAGATCTCCACAAAAACACGAGAAACAGTGATTCATTGCATTATATTTTCTATTTTTCAAACGCGAGTGTCACCATGAATGTTCAGGGAAGCCATAAATAAAAATAGTAGTGAATTTGACAGCTAGACCATTTACTTTTGCCGGAAAAATGGGTTTCATAAGCGTTGAATTTTCTAATTTGCCCGCACTGTAAGCTCCATCCACGTCGTTTATATAATGCCTACTTTGTATATGAGGTGAAATAAACACCACTAGTGCGTTGTTTATGTTAGAGAATACAATGGAATGAATTACAGGAAAGAAAACACAGACAAGCTTCTTTGCAACGTGGGGCATGAGGTTTTATAAACCAGACAGAATATAAAGTGTCTGAAAACACAGACGGTGGTTGAAATCAACTTGTCAACGATAAACGGCATTCATAAACTTTTATACAGTTCACATAATATTTTGTGAGGAAAAATTTAGATTAATACACAGACAAAATTAAATATAATTAAATATTGGTGATATCTTTCCTTCTTTATTAGTCCCCGAAAATGGGGACTTATAATTCGGTCTCTGTGCGTCCGTGCATCTGTGCGTTCGTCCGGAGTCATATCTCAGAATCCCTTGGACCGATTCCGTTCATTCATTGCATGTACCTAGTACTTTATGTGGGACATATGCACATGCACTGGTTTACCGATTTGATTTAAAATGGCCGACTGGCAGCCATCTTGTTTTTTGAAAATGTCGTATTTTGGTCATGCTTTGTCAGTTTTTATTTAAATTTAGTACATAGATCATACATGTTAGGATACATGTCCATGGCGATTTATTTTCCAATTGGATCAAAGATGGTCGACTGGCAGGCATCTTTTTTTTTATGCAGTATCTTGGACCTGCTCTGTCAGTTTTCATTCAAATTTAGCACATACATGTACTTTATACATGTTAGGATGCATGTCCATGACAATGTGTTTCAAAATCTGGTCAAGGATGGCCGATTGACAGACATCTGACTTTTTGGCCTTACTATTTTTCCACAATTTATGTACCATTTTCATTCGTATTTGGCACATACATTATACATATCAGTGTGTTTCATAATCAGATCAAAGATGGCGTAATAACAGCTGTTTTTATTTTTGGCCATATTACTACTACACGGAACACGTGTTTTGATGTAAATAAACAATCTGTTGTATACGCCACTTGGAACTCAAGTTTCAAGGACACGCTCGCGACAACCCCTCCGCTTTAATATGACAAGCACAAAGAGAACTTTCAAAAATTTAATGGGGACTGTGTCATTTTCAATGACTTGTTTTCATTGAAACCAGCGTTAATAATTTTTTTACTGACTTTTGTCTTGTATAAGCTGTGTTATATAAGTTTGTTCATATTTTTTCCACTTAAATTACAGCTAGTATTTTTATTGATACATGTATCATTACTTGGATTAGGGACATTACTATTCATTGTTTCCGAATTGTACCTTCTAGTACGGCTTACTGTAAATGCATTAATTATTCATAAGGTTTATATAAATTTGCTGTTTTTGTGGGTGAGTGAAAATCTGCTAAATTAACAAGTTGACATGAACATGTAAAACTACAATAAATCTCATTGTTTCCATGGCAATTTTGTGAAGTCAAAACATGCAGCTAAAAGCCTGAAGAGAATGAAAATATTGGTGTTATTATTCAATTTTCGTATTTCAACACTCCTGTCATTATTAGTATTAATGCGTCTGTACATGTGTGTTCACCTATATCTTAGACATGAAACGATGACATTCAAACTTGCACACATACATCATGCTTCTTTGAATACATATGCACGTCTATTTAATTCATGTTCCAATACAAGATGGTTGTTTATGTTCAAACTTTATATATTTCTTACAACACTAGAGAAGTCAGGGACTATGTAATCTAATGTCACGTTCCTGTAATCTAATGTCACGTTCCTGTAATCTAATGTCACGTTCCTGTAATCTAATGTCACGTTCCTGTTCAACCCCCATATATAACATTGCTGTCATTTTACAATTTCTCATTTCTGTTTACCCCCCAACAGGCAATGTTGCTGCAGTTGGTAACAGCAGTTGGCGCCCTCAGTGGCTGTATATGTGGGCTTTTGGCAGAAGGCAGTGGTGATACTGCAACATTATGGATCCTACCATTTACAGCAGGGGGTTTCATTTACATTGCTACCGTCGCAGTCATCCCAGAACTTCTAGCAGATACGAAACCTTGGCAGTCTTTCAAAGAAATCACAGCAATGCTCATTGGTGTGGGTTTGATGGTAGTTATAGCGAAAATGGAGTAGACGACACCGTTCATTGCCATCCAAAAAAAATTATATTTTGTAAGTCAAATATTTATGACTTGTGTGGAGTCTCGCACGTTTTATAGGCTGCTTGTGAATTCAGGAAAAAAGAAATAAATCTGTTTATTTATTTTTCTTGTGTCCCATTTTCAAATAAATTTGCTGTCATCAAGTGTAGTACTTTTTTAAAGTGAAAAAGCAGCTACTTTTGAACATATCTAAACTTTTCAGATATCAAGATTTAATTTATTGATGCTACTGTAATACCTTTAACTGTATTTGACCAATTTGCTCTGTTAGAAGTGCATGTCTTACTAAAATTAAAGTTTCCTGAAACTCAAGTTTTGATTGGCCGATGATCCGTGAGACTTGAAGTCGATTTTTATAGGTAGTTGGTCAGATGTAGCTTAAGGCATGTACTCCAGCAGCCATAAACAAATATTGCAAGCAACCAGAGCCTTTAACTTCATTTGTTTTCACTTAGATTGCACTCAGCTAACAATATATCATAGGATTTATGTGGTGTCCCGCTCATAATGCCTAGCTACAGTGCTAGTAATATCTCATTACTTATTCAGATTTATGTCAGTGTCTCCCACTATGGGATTTCAAATGCTCTTTGTTCATTGGTCAGTTAAAGAGTAGTATCTGAAAATTCTCAATAATTATGCGATCTTAAAATGATTGACATTGTTCATGTTAACTGCATTTTAAAACAATCAATTAGATAGCTACTGGCTCCGTCATACTTAGGCATTAGTGGAGTGTGGTATAGTGAGTGGAATGCTGAATAGATTCTTGGCTACAAACACTACTGTATTACATTTAAAATAATCTGTTAATGGGAAAAAAGCAAAGGAAGAAAAATCGCTTTTCTTTCATGGGCTGGCAACATGTCTAGTAAATATGTACTTTGAAGTGATATGGATATGTATTTCCTTTTCCTGAGAGAAAAAATCTTTTCTCATTCACACTTTCCCTGTAGTGATTTTCTAATGTTAGCCAGCCTCTTTTCATCTATCATCTATTTTTATGTAATTTTTATCAAAGAATTGAAAATAATGTCTTTTTTTTCTTGGCACAAAACTTATGTTGAAGCTATAATAATAATGTAATTGTTTTGAAATGCTACTCAGATTCATTAGAATCATAAGAAATTAATCAGTTACGTACTCGTGAATACACTTAGAGTATCTAATCACAAATATAAAAAATGGTTTACTATATATTGACCATAGCGTTATGGTTGCCATAGTTCTCTATTATGCTTTACTAATTTTTGTTATCATAATCATCAAAACATATATACCCCCGTTATTTTTTTTATGAATTTTTTTGACCAATATACTTTTCAAATATGTATTTAATCGTATATTTTGTTTTTGTCAACCATAAGTTTATACAATTTTCACAGTGCGCATTGTAATTACAATTCAGTACATTTATCTCTAGTTATCTTTATTATATCCACCTTCTTACGTCAGTTTCACTGCTTCGCCATCGAAAATTTATATTCCTTAGCGAATGTGTAGAAACAAATGAAGGAAGCTGACTATCTTTACTATAGCTCATATTTCTGTTTTAGTTCATTTGTTGAGTCAAACAAAATTGTTTTGATAAAGTCTGAAGAATCTTTGTAATTATTGTTTATGAAAAATAAGAAATTGTGATGTTTTTCTTGTGTATTCTTTTCATTCCAAAATTATGTTGATTTGTTAAAACAAATCATAGTTCAATGTCTTTTTACTGAATATAAAGCATATTTGTTGCATGATCTGATGGAGGGGAGGTGCAATTTGATTCTCATGTTTCATAAAATGAAGTGTATTTGAAATGTATACTAAGTGCACTAAGGTTCAATTCTAAACTATTATTTTCAATAAATCTGACAATTCTTTGGTCAAACTACGAAAAAAACCTACTGAGATGGTGACATGTCATGCAACCTGTATTGTGACACTGCACTATGGGTGACCTGCGTTTTTGCACAACTAAGATGGTGACCTGTTTTAAGACATCACTGATGTTGGGGTGTTCTGCATCAAAGGTAACTGACATAGTCACCCGTTTTTCGGCATCACAAAAATAAGATGACCTCGCTTGCCAGTATGATGATCTGCATTACAACATCACTGATGTGCTTTATTGCTTCCCTAGCATGAAGGCAGGCTGCAATATTGTACGACTGACACGTGTATGTGGCCTCTATCATTGACTTGTGAATTAAGTATGACTCGTTCTTGGCACGGACACTTGCATTATGGGAGCACTACCACAAATGCACAGTGTTTTGTAGTATACAACTGACATTATTTCATATTTGTATGCAAATGAAAGTTGTGCATAAAGTTGATGGGTGTATGTTGTACATTTCATTTGCCGCTACATATAAGTGCATCTACTGTGTAAGTTACATTTATTCTAACTCATTGGTCTGTTATATGTATACTGTAATTTACTAGATTGTATTTTTCTTGTATCCGTTCTTGTATTATTCAAATTCAGTTCATTGCTCCTGATATTCAATTCTTTTGTCTGTATGCTTTTTGACCTTGAAGGTCGTGCATCTTTGTATTTTTAGGTGTGTCATAAGACAATAAAATTCAAAACAATGTGGCAAACAGTAGTTGTAACATTTCTTATCAATATTATGAACAGTCGGTGTGTATTTAAAGTATTTATTCTAGTTGTGCATCCCAGTTGGTGTCACAATGTTTTTCCATAGTATTTCTCATTATAAGACTTAGTAACAAATCACCGATGCCATGGTTACCAAGCAAATGAACATGCTACACCCATTATTTCTCAGTTATTTAGCGGATGTGTGTCAGCATTGTCGTCGTCGTCGTTAATAGTTTTTAATATATGAAGAATAACTCAAGTCAAATCAGTTTAAAACTTGGGTATATCATTTATGAGTATAAAAATTTGCCAAAGTTCAATTTGCTTTTGTCTTGTGTGAAAATAACGAGGTTTTGAGGAAAAGGTCTGTTGCAATTTCAGGACTTGTCACTGAATTGAGTGCATTCAAATTCTTCCCTGGTCCCTAAGGCAATAGACATGTACCTGTCTTGTAAACTAGATCACTGGCAATAAATCTCCTTGATTCCCTGGGAATACTCTGCCTGAGTTTCAATAAACTACAAATAATACAATAGGCTGAGAAGTAATTTCTAATCATATACACATTTGCAAACGTATAAATAAAATACATTTATGAACAACCTTAACAGAAAACAGATGTTTCTTAATCTTTTGCGCTGGAAATACATTAAAGAAATAGTTGTTTTTGAAATTTATAATTCATTAAAGAGATTTCATACTAATTTAAAACATACATCCAGATATCAGCACTCACTATACAAAGTACATATTTTACTTAAAACATAAAATATGATTTGATCTAAAAGTCATTCACCTGAACTATATTATATAATGTAACACAAAGTTACATATAATGTATTAAACATGTATATAACATAGTATAGTTATTTAGCATCGGAGCAAATGTCTTTTCAATACATTTATCCCAATTGACACCTATATGAGATTTTACATGAATCACCTCTTTATTTTTAGAGAAAATTGTTATTAGTTTTGGTAAAAAATGATATTAACTTATTCCTGAAAACTACCAGCCTACTATACTACTATTAGCTTTGATATTAGATACCACGGATGTATCAGTTTTATTCGATTATTTTATCTTTTGGTAGAAAATGATATCAGTTTTCCTTTGAAAATACCCAGTCTGATTGCTTTGATACTTGGTATGTATGTAGATTAGGTGGACTTATATGAGATTTGGTGATCATATTTTCGATCAAATTTTAGAGAGTATTTTTGGTATAACATATATATACCAGCCGGGGCTATCTTATCCAACAGTTTGTCTCTTTCTTGGTTAGTTTTCTATGAATATACCTTCCAACTTTATTATATTGCTAGCATTTAAAGTTGACATGAACCTGTTTCTGGTCTGTGTTTGTTCGATTGATTTTTCAAGAACTATTTGGAAATACTTTAATGAAACTACTTGGTTTAGGACAATCTGCATACCTGTTTAGTCTTTGGTTCAAATTTCTGCATATCAATTACAAAATTTGCATAATAATCAGTGTCTGTATTTCACTGATACATGTATCTCTAGAACGAATCATCAGATGTCAATGAAACTTGGTTATTTTTTTAAAATGATGATCACAAAGACCTGATTGGTTTTGAGCTGAAATCTGGCCATATTGATTGCATAATTAGTAGAGATATAATTTTCGGCTGTTTCTCTGATATCACAAGAATCACTCAACATACTGTAAAATGACTAATTTTCACTGGGTTTAAATTTCACTGATTACCATTTCAGGCATATTCAGTGGGTTTTAAATTCACGGTTTCATCATTAAGATAATGTGTTCTATGCTAATTTTTACATATTCACTGTATTTTAATTTAGCGCATTTTTCCAGTCAGCGAAATAAGCTAAATTTAAACCCGGTGAATAATTACCCCCTTTACAGTATTCCAATGAAATTTGGAACATAGCTGCTCTGAGAGAATAATGTGAATATTAATTATCTAATTTGCATAATTATTTGAGACTTTTAAGCTTCACTGATATCTCAGAAATTACAGGTTTAAACAAAACTCTGTTAATTAGCGTCACCCCCGGGGTACTTCTATAGTTGAAGTATGGGGATATACACCGCTGTTCATGATCAAGCCATTTTAGGAAAATTTAGGCAATTGCTTGGCAAATTTTTGAGCCAAAACGCGCACTCAACGCTGTTCAGTTTTCAACTGTCCGCAAATAGCTCCCACCAAATTCTAGGTGAGCACCCCCCCCCTCGGCGCCAGTTTAGAATAAAGAAGGCCGCAGTGTTCAGTGTTGTGGCGATACATGTGATGATAAACTAATTATTGTCTAATTACTCTATTAAATTAATTAAAATACATTGCGCAAATCGCGTTACCATAGCACATTATTTCACAATTCAACAACTAGACATGACATCGAACTACTTGTGCTAGCTAGTTCACTGAAACCAATCAACTGTTGCTATGATTCCAGTAGATTTTCAGCTTTTTACAGAATCCACACTTCTGTTTTCAATATTTCTGTACTGTTTATGATAATCGTTAATACGTCATTGCTCATTAATCAATGATTTAAATAATAACGAATCCCACACAATGCCATATTGGTTAAGGAGAAGGTTCTATGAT